GATCAAAGGATCTGTACAACAGGAAGAACTTACAATAATAAATGTATATGCACCTAATGAGAGACCAGCAAAGTACTTAAAACAACTACTCATAGATTTGGAAAAAGACATCAATAGCAACACAATACTAGTGGGAGACTTCAACACTGCTTTGTCACCTCTTGATAGATCAACCAGACTCAAGCTTAGCAAGGACATACTTCATTTGAGGGAAACAATGGAAGAAAGGGACTTAGTAGATATATACAGGACACTTCATCCACAAAAAGCTGAATACACATTCTTCTCAAGCGTACATGGAACATTCTCCAAGATAGACCACATGCTGAGCCACAAAACATGCCTCCATAAAATTAAGAAGGTAGAGATTGTATCAACAATCCTCTCAGACCATAATGCGCTGAAATTAGAAGTAAATCACACACAAAAACAGAAAACTAAATCAAACACCTGGAAATTAAACAGTGCACTATTGAACAACGAGTGGATTAGACAGGAAATCAAAGAGGAAATCAAAAGATTCCTAGAAATGAATGAAAATTAGAACACGAGTTACCAAAACTTATGGGACACAGCAAAGGCTGTGTTAAGAGGAAAGTTTATAGCTCTACAAGCATTCCTCAGGAAGGAGGAGCGAGCACACATAAGTAACCTAACCTCACAGCTTAAGAGCTTGGAGAAGGACCGAAAAAAGGAGCACAACCCGAACAGGAGAAAGGAAATAATAAAACTCAGAGCAGAGATTAACGAGATGGAAACCCAAAAAGCAATCCGAAAGATGAATGAAACCAAAAGCTGGTTCTTTGAGAAAATTAACAAGATCGATAAGCCTCTAGCAAAACTCACAAAGAAAGGGAGAGAGAAAACCCTAATAAACCGAATCAGAAATGAAAAGGGGGTCATTACAACAGAAACCAAGGAAATTCAGAGGATCCTCAGGGAGTACTTTGAGAAGCTTTATACCATGGAACATCAAAACTTCGAGGAAATGGATAAATTCCTAGACTCCTACAGACTCCCAAGGCTGAACCAAGAAGACCTGGAATACCTGAACAGACCTAACACCATCAAGGAAATTGAAATGGTAATAAAAAGTCTCCCCAAGCACAAAAGTCCTGACCCGGATGGATTCACTAGTGAATTCTTCCAAATCTTTAAAGAGGACTTACTCCCAATGCTCTTTAAGCTTTTCCACGAAATTGAAATATCAAAAACACTTCCGAACAGTTTCTACGAAGCAAATATCACACTGATACCAAAAGCAGACAGAGATACCACAAAGAAAGAGAATTACAGGCCGATATCCCTGATGAACACAGATGCAAAGATCCTCAACAAACTACTAGCAAATAGAATCCAACTACTCATCAAAAAGATCATACACCATGACCAAGTAGGATTCATTCTAGGGATGCAAGGATGGTTTAACATTCGGAAATCAATCAACATAATCCACCATATCAACAAAAGAAAAGATAAAAAGCATATGATCATATCAATAGATGCAGAGAAAGCATTTGATAAGATCCAGCACCCCTTTATGATGAAAACCCTAGCCAAAATGGGTATAGAGGGGACCTTCCTCAACATAATTAAAGCCATCTACCACAAGCCTACAGCAAGCATCATCCTCAATGGGGAAAAACTGAGAGCCTTCCCTCTAAGATCAGGGACGAGACAGGGATGCCCACTCTCTCCACTGCTGTTCAATATAGTACTGGAAGTACTTGCAATAGCGATTAGGCAGGAAAAAGATATTAAGGGCATTCAGGTAGGAAAGGAAGAACTCAAGCTCTCACTATTCGCAGATGATATGATACTCTACTTAGAGAACCCAATAACTTCCACCAAAAAACTCCTAGAAACAATAGACTCGTATAGTAAAGTTGCAGGTTATAAAATCAATACCCAAAAGTCCATGGCTTTCCTATACGCAAACAGTGAGAGAGAAGAAAGCAACATGAAAAAACAATCCCATTCACAATTGTGCCCCAGAAAATCAAGTACCTAGGAATCAGCTTAACTAAGGAAGTAAAGGACCTGTACAAAGAAAACTACAAAACGCTACTTCAGGAAATAAAAGAGGACATGAGGAAACGGAAAGATATCCCCTGCTCATGGGTCGGGAGACTTAACATTGTCAAAATGGCAATACTACCGAAAGCATTGTATAAATTCAATGCAATCCTTATAAGGATACCCATGACATTCTTCAAAGAAATGGAGCAAACACTCCTGAAATTTATATGGAACAATAAGCCCCCATGAATAGCTAAAGCAATTCTTGGGAAAAAGAAAATGGGAGGAATCAACCTCCCTAACTTCAAACTGTACTACAAAGCAGTAATAATTAAAACAGCATGGTACTGGAACAAAGGCAGAACTGCAGACCAATGGAACAGGGTTGAATACACTGACATCTCCCCTCAATCATATGCTCATCTAATCTTTGATAAAGGTGCAAGTAATGTGAAGTGGAGTAAGGAAAGCCTCTTTAATAAATTGTGTTGGCATCACTGGACGGCTACATGCAAAAAAATACGCTCAGAACTCTGCCTAACACCATGTACAAAAGTAAGATCAAAATGGATTAAAGACCTCAACATCAGACCAGAAACCATAAGGTACATTGAAGATAAAGTTGGCAAAACCCTCCATGACATTGAAGCTAATGGTATCTTCAAAGATGCCACGCCACTGACTGAGCAAGTGAAAACAGAGATAGATAAATGGGACTATCTTAAACTAAGAAGCTTCTGCACCTCCAAAGAAACAGTGAGCAAAATACAAAGACAGTCTACAGAATGGGAAAGGATATTCACCGAATACACATCTGACAAGGGGTTGATATCCAGGATATACAAAATACTGGTTAAACTCCACAAGAAGAAAACATCCAACCCCATCCAAAAATGGGGCAATGAAATGAACAGAAACTTTCTCAAAGAAGAAATCCAAATGGCAAAAAAAGTACATGAGAAAATGCTCTACATCATTAATCATCAGGGAGATGCAGATCAAAACCACAATGAGATACCATCTCACACCTCAGAGACTGGCCCACATTCAAAAGAACAAAAGCAACCGATGCTGGCGTGGATGTGGCGAGAAAGGGACACTCCTTCACTGTTGGTGGGAATGTCCACTGGTTCAGCCCTTCTGGAAAACAGTATGGACGATTCTCAAAAAATTAGAAATTGAGCTCCCATTTGACCCAGCAATACCACTCCTGGGAATATATCCCAGAGAGGCAAAAATGTATAGTCGAAGTGACATCTGCACTTGTTTGTTCATTGCAGCACTCTTTACAATAGCCAGAAACTGGAAGAAACCTGAATGCCCAAGAACAGATGACTGGTTAAAGAAACTTTGGTACATCTACACAATGGAGTACTATGTAGCTGTTAGAAAAGATGAAGTCATGAAATTTACATACAAGTGGTACAATATGGAAAGTATCATGCTAAGCGAAATGAGTCAGAAAGTGAGGGATAGACACAGAAAGATTGCATTCATCTGGGGGATATAAAGTAACAAAGTATGAGATTAATACCCAAGAATAGCTGAGATCAGCACCAGGAGGATTACTTCATAACTTAGAGGCCAGCCGGGTATCCTAGAGGAAAGGGCAGTTCAGATAGAGAAGGGAGCACCAAATAAAGGATATTTGGAGGATCCTCCCAGGAGGGGAGATGCATGTCGAAAGTAGACTATGGACTGAACATGTTTGCCACTCAATGCCTCTTTTGCAGACCACAACACCCAAAAGGAGAGAGAGAACACAGGGGATTGCCCTGCCACAGAGACGGGGGGATGGGGGGATGGGGGTGGGAGGGATATTATCCATGGTGGTGGAAAATGGGCACTGGTGGAGGGATGGGTATCTGATCATTGTATAATTGAAACCAAAGCACAAAAAATTGTAAATCTACAACTGTAAAATAAAATAAAATAAAATAAAATAAAGGGGAAAAAAAAGAACAAAAAAAAAGAAAAAAAAAGAAATTGTAGTCTGATGGAGTCAAGAAATCTAATTTTTTTCAATATGATTCACTAAGTTGGAAAGTTGGTCTTAACTTTTATTATGTTGGTATAACTGTTCTCTCTGGCCATTAAGTTTTGCCATAAATAGAATTGATTTGTCCCTAAGGAGAATGCTGTGATAAACATGAGATACTTTTACAGAGTTTTATAGAAAAAACTCTGTACCCCCTTTTCTGTAATAGCTCCAGTCTATATCAGATTTTCACACATACATCTCATAGCTTTTCCCTTTTCTGGTCATCTTCTCTTCTCCATGTTCTCTCCTAATTATTCCTAAATGACTGTGCCGCCTCTGAATAACTTTAGTCCCTTGGTTATATCTGGACACTCTGCTCTATGCTCATTTTTATGCCAGTCTTGCTAATCATTGATAATCACAGCCTGATTGAAGACATTAATAATAGTCCCTACTCTCAATGTCACCCAGAGGATGATCTGAGTATGTTTCTTTCTTATCATTGTCTCTTGACCCTTGCTGATTGATTGACATATGAAGGGTCAATACATTGAGCCAAGAACACACAGGAGCAAACAACACATGTAGCCAACCAAGAAGTGCCTGTTGTTTCTTCTTTTTAACTTTTTGAAAGTTCTGCAAAGATTTTGCATATATCAAGTCAACTTTCAGAAAAACTGTGACTCTTCCAAGTCAGTGAGAAAATATTGATACCAAGTATATTAGATATATGTTAAACATGATTGCTTTTCTCTAAATACAGGCATATTACTTCTTAACAGCAAAGTGAGCCTTACATTTAAATTTTCTTTGAGAATTGATATTCATGATATGGAGGTGGGGGATTTCTGCCTTAGGAAACAACTGCTCTCATCCTGTGTTCCGGGTGCCTCAGCAGCTGTGTCCAGTTGGTGGTCCACATTCCCCACTTTTTGTGCAGCGAATAGAAACATTTAGGTCAATATTGATGTAAAACTTCATGAACTTTCTTCTCTTTCAGCTTTGGTTCGCCTTTGTTAATGGATTTTCTGGACAGATTTTATTTGAACGTTGGTGCATCGGCTTGTACAATGTGGTAAGCATTCTTCATCTCTATCTGATAGCATACGGGACTTCAGTGACATTCCTTTACTGTTTATGTCTGGGAAGTGTATCTAAGTCAATCATCTGTATACATAGCAGGCAGCACAAATACATCTTTGGGGCCTTTGTTGCTGCGACATGTCCTGCAGAAGTCCAAACTCCCCACACATGGTTTCAATCATAGCAGATCATTCTTGAATAACCCCATGAAATTATTAACCCATATATCTTGATAATAGACCCTTGTTACCTCCTTACTAAATGCCTGGGCAACATTTTCATGTTTTTACTCAAGTGAAAATTTCTGAACTAGATCTAAACTCATTCCACTTGATAATTTTATTTCAGAATTCTAAAACATAGATTCCAACATCTAGTCTATGATCAGATGTACTTTCTTTTCTTTGTTTTTGTCCTCCACAAAAGAGTATCTGTCCTTGTGGAAGATGTTTGCTTCCCCAGCTGGTGCTAAAATAATGAATTCTGACTGCCAGCTCCTGCGGTGAATGGTAATCAGCTTAGTTGGTACTTTTCATGGTTTTAGAGTTCTTGTTTCATTACTCAACTAATGAATTCAAAAACCAGAAGTAAATATAAACTATCCTAAAATGACTAAGTGGCGAGTCTGCTAGATGTTTTGCTCACAGAGAGATCTACAAGTTGGTTCATTTATTGAGCAACACTTTTACAGTGCCTTTGGAGCTTAACTGACATTCTTTATCCTGTGGGAGATTTTACTCTGAGCAGTTTTCATAGATGGAAGTTGGTAAAAATACAATAATATCAATTGGGTTGCTATAAATATTTATAGCCTTCATCTTCATTGAAGGCTGGATGTTCAAGTCATTCATGCACTTAAGCACTCCCCTCCCCACCTCACTTCTCTTTTTTTTTTTTTTGAGTAGCCATTAAACTAAGCACTAGGTAGAAATAAAGAAAATAACAGGTTGCCGAGACTTGTGGCCTACGTACCTCACAGGTTAGGAGGGCCAGATGTGCAGACTAATGTTCTACTAAGACCAAATTTAAATTTGAAATATTAAATTGTGTCAGTAATGATGTGACTCACCACAAAATACATTGCTAACATGTCCCTTTCTAAACCCCATACCCCAGGAGATAGAGGTGACAGGTGGTGAGAGCAGACTTAAATTAGTTCCTTTATCACCTGTGCTAGCAGAGGTGCTGTTATAACTGCCCACCACAGAGACTGGGACTAGGGACCACCCCTTGATCTACTAAAGAGAGAGCACAGATTGTTAACTCTGCAGGATTGTAGAGTGCTTCAAGTTCATTAAAGCTATGTAGTAGTTTAGGTGAAATATGCTGACTGATTCATCATGGTTTAGTGCAGGGAAAGGCCAGGGTGTTGTAGAGTTGACTTAACTCACACAAACCCATGCCGCCATACAAAGTTTATAGTCAGAAAACCAAGACCTGAGAGAATGCTATCAAGCTAAACCAGAACTGGAATACAGATTGCCTGACATGCTCAGAAGAGATTTTAGCCCTCTTTTTCTGCTTAAGCTTGAGGGCTGAATTTTGGGATTTACCTCCATGCAAACTTGGGCAAACTTGTGTAGAGAGCCTACTATACAAATAAAGGTAAAAAGGCCCTCCCGTTGATCATCGATTTGCTCAAGCGGGCCCAGTAACGTCTCCATTGGAGACTTTGTTGTTACTGTGTTTGGCATATCGAATACGTCACAGGGAACTTGCCAGGCTCTGCCGTGAGGGCGAGATACTCTCGGTAGCTTGCCGGGCTCTCTGAGAGGGGCGGAGGAATCGAACTCGGGTCAGCCATGTTGGCTGCGTGCAAGACAAACGCCCTACCACTGTGCTATCGCTCCAGCCCTACTATACATATGCTGCTAATTAGCTCTAAAGAAAATTTTGAACTGGTCTTAAGTAAGACTTACTTAAGAATAACCTGGGGACGCTGGTACTAGGAAATGTACACTGGTAAAGGGATTGGTATTGGAATACTGGATGACTGAAATACAATCATGAACAGCTTTGGAATGGTCTATCTCACAGTGATTCAATTAGAAAAGTAAAAAAAAAATTAAAATAAATAAAATAAAAAGTGTGTATTTGGCAATAAAAAACAATAAAAAAGAAACGGGATTTGTTTTATGATGCCAAGTTCTAAGTCTAACCTGATTCAACAAAAATTTTCTCTGGAATACTACATTTTGAATAAGATTTTTCTGGTGGTAGTTAGGTATGGTAGAGTTTGACATTAGATGATCTTCGTCCTCTAGAATTGAGACTGTATCCTGAAATTTGTATCCTCAAGACAATAGAGTTGAAAATACTGTGGTAGAGATATAAGTTTGGGTCTTCTTGCTTCCTTTTCTTCTTCCTTTAATTATCACTAGTGGTAACATGGTTACAGTTGTTTTTGGTGTAGGATTTTGCTGTACTGACACCAACAACATACAAAAGCCCCTTCACTATTGCCTTTACACCACTTTTAGTCCCTATCTTTCTTTTCCACCTTCTACACCCCCATCCCTGCCATTTAGTTCTCTATTCATATTTAAAGACTTTGTTGTCCGCTAGGGGGAAAGGCAGCCCAGATAGAGAAGGGAACACCAAGTAAAGGGTGTTGGGGGGATCCTCCCAGGATGGGAGATGCATGCTGAAAGTAGACTATAGACTGAACATGATTGCCACTCAGTGCCTCTTTTGCAAACCACAGAACCCAAAAGGAGAGAACAAAAGGGAATGCCTGCCACAGAGATGGGATGGGATGGGGGAGGATGGGGAGTGGGAGGGATACTGGGATCCGTGGTGGTGGAGAATGGGCACTGGTGGAGCGATGTGTACTCGATCATTGTATAACTGAAACCCAGGCACAAAAATTTGTAAGTCTACAACTACCTTATGGTGTTTCACGAATAAAAATTGAAAAAAAAAATAATAGAGAAGTGAATTTTCTAACTTTGTTTTGCTTTGCTTCTTATAGACCACATGAGTTCAATCATCTGGTATCTGGTATATGTCCTTCCTTCTTATTATTTTCTTTTTTTGGGTCATACCCAGCGATGCTCAGGGGTTACTCCTGGCTCATGCACTCAGGAATCACTCCTGGCGGTGCTCGGGGGACCATATGGGATGCTGGGAATCGAACCTGTGTCGGTCATGTTGGCTGCACGCAAGGCAAACGCCTTACCCGCTGTGCTATAGCATAGCGGGTAGGGCGTTTGCCTTACAAGCGGCCAACATGGCCGACCCGAGTTCGATTCCTCCGCCCCTCTCGGAGAGCCCGGCAAGCTACCGAGAGTATTCGATATGCCAGACACAGTAACAACAAAGTCTCCAATGGAGACGTTACTGGGCCCGCTCGAGCAAATCGACGATCAACGGGAGGGCCTTTACCTTTACCTTTACCTTATTATTTTCATTTAACATGACTTCCTCTAATTCCATCTATGTTTTAGCAAGTGACAAGCTTTCATCTTTGCTTTTTTTTTTTTTTTTTTTTTTTTTTTGGTGGGTGGTTAGCTCCAGCTCTGAATTCTAAGGAGTTACTCCTGTCAGTGCTCAGGGACTATATAGGTTTTCAGGGATCGAATTGGGTTGGCCAAAGGCAAGGCAAATACTCAATCCACTGGACTATCACTTCAGCCCCGGCTTTCATCTTTTCTTAGAGAATAATATTATTTTGTCATGTTTACATGCCACAATTCCTTTTTCTACTGTGTTGTTGAGTGTTTGGGTTGTTTCCAGACCTTGACTACTGTGAATCGAAGCAAATTTCAAGGTAGAACAGCCCTACATTTCTATGGGATACACCAGAAAATGGTAAGAGAGAGTTGAGGCATAAAATATTAGTGAAATGGGGTCAGAAGGATCATTGGCCTCCAGAGCTAATCATGCTGAAGGGTCTCCTTTGGAGAACATGGAGGTTTTCCCTTATGGAAATTGTTTTTGGTAATTGTTGCTTGAAATGGGCTGGAGCGATAGCACAGTGGGTAAGGCTTTTGCCTTGCACTCAGCCAACATAGCCGACCCGAGTTCGATTCCTCCACCCTTCTCGGAGAGCCCAGCAAGCTACCAAGAGTATCTCGCCCGCATGGCAAAACCTGGTGAGCTAGCCGTGATGTATTCAATATGCCAAACACAGTAACAACAAAGTCTCACAATGGAGATGTTACTGGGCCCGCTCGAGAAAATCGATGAACAATGGGAGGACAGTGACAGTGACAGTGACAGTTGCTTGAAATGAATGAAAATTTAGAGGAAAGCTGCAAAAAGAATACAAAGAACTGTATGTACCCAGAGTCGTGATTATTGATGTTTTGTTCATATTGCACCCTCCTTGCACGCAGCCAGCCCGCCGAGCCCGGTTCAATTCCTCCGCCCCTCTTGGAGAGCCCTGCAAGGTACCGAGAGTATCTCGCCCACATGGCAAAGCCTGGCAAGCTACCCGTGACGTGTTTGATATGCCAAACACAGTAACAACAAGTCTCAAAATGGAGACATTACTGGGCCCGCTCAAGCAAAATCGATGAACAATGGGAGGACAGTGGACAGTGTTTTACACACACACACACACACACACACACACACACGCACACATATATACATACATACATATGTACCCACTGGTACACATGCATGTGCCCTTTGTTTTTAAACCAGTTAAAAATAAGTTGAGGCCAAAGAGATGGCCATCCTGGGTTCAACTCTGGCACCTCACATGCACCCCATCAAGAACTGCCAAGATTAAGCCCTGAACACTGCCAAGTATGACCCTATAATAATAATAATAATTAATAATAATAATAATATAACACATTCAGTTATCATATCAATTTCTGCTTAATACTTTAGATATAGTTGCTATTTTTTTACATAACCTCAGGTTAATGATCAAAATTACAGAATATAACATAGGTACTATACTGTTATCTGGTCCACATTTATCTTTATTCTAATTCTGTCATTGTTGTGCAATATTTCCTGTTTAGTAAATTTTTCCAC